GTAAATTCTCTAATTAATAGTTGTCGAACTCCAAATTGTATAAGTTCTTATTCAACATTATGTAGATCGTTATCTTCAAACACACAACATGATTGGCCAGCTAGTGCAAATTGCTGAAAAATTCTTAGCTCCAACCTTGGTTGGACACAGAAGTTCCAACATGTCACATGTCAGTTTCCTATTAGTGAGTTCATCTTTCTTTTTTATATTTTAATTCTTCATTTATTTAGCATAATTAAGAACATTAAATTGAAAGAAGAAAACCCACTAAGGGGCCTGTACTGTGTGCCAAGACTGAAACTACTGTACATACAGACTGAAATTACTGTTACAACTCGGAAGAGACTTCAGTGTGGGAGGGTGTAGCGTGTTCTCTGATTGGTTTCAGATGACATGTTCTCTTTGAACCACTGATGGGACGGTTGGTTCGTTGGTTATTTGGGTTTCATGTGAGAGGTCTGTTTCAGCTTTCCTTGCATTCTAACAGACGCAGTCACACATTGGTTACATGGAGACTGAATGTGAATGGGCCCATTTTTGGTCTTTGTGCCTGCGCATTGGTCATCACGTCTTTGAATGAGACCTGGGGTGTCTCAAGAAAAGAGAGAGTCAGAGATATTTTCTTTCCTTGGTGGATGTAGTACCATGTATTCCTTCCTAAGCCTCTCATTTTACTTAATCGGCGCAGTCCCCTATGTGAACTCCACTCATTGCTTTTTTTTCCTAGAGGCCCTATTAGTCGACAGGGGTGGGAGAAAGTAAGAAACCTCCTTCAAGTGTCTCCTCTCTCTCTCTCTCTCTCTCTCTCTCTCTCCCTCCCTCCTCATCGACGGTCTTTGTGAACAATCACATCAGAACCGCCAAGCATCGCCGGCGGCTATAGTCAGCACGCGAATCCCTTCTCAGTCGCAGGTATTTTAGAGTTTTCAATCCCCAATTCCCAGTTGCTTGATCTCGAGTTTATGTTCCCCTTATTCTCTTTCAATCGCTTAATAATTTTTGAAATGGAACTCGGTCGCAGAGGAGCAGGACTGCCTGATTTTCTCAGCTGAAGCAAGTGGAGATTATGTGACCTTCACCTACGCTGGCGATGGGGAAGAAGGTAAGCGTTTGAGAATTTTTTTTATATACTTTTGAGTTCCAGACCATAGTTGTCCAATTTCATCTCTTTAGTTCCAGAGACTCATTTCCCTTTTCCTTCTTTCTTTCTCTGCTCTGCACTGCCACTTCGAGCAGATACCTCAGAGCTACTGTACTACAGCCGGAAACTATGATTGGAGCGATTCACTTCATGAGCGATAACCGGATCGGAGGCGGCAACTGTGGACTCTAAATCCGTATCTTGATTTCCCCCACAATCTTAGGTTTCTAGTGTATTGGTTTTAGGTTCTGCTTTCTTTTTTGCTTTGTGCTTTCTCTTTGACCAGTTAAAACTCGATAGGCTCATTCTCCCCATTTTCATGTTTTGTGATTACTTCTTACTCTCTCTTGAGCATGTTTTCTAATTTCTAGACGGGTTGGTTCAATCTTTTTGGAGACAGCAATAGCGGATGGTGATAAGATTGATGTCAGCGGAGAACAAGCTGATGAATTTTCACCGCCTGTTACTCCCGATTCAGCTAATCGCTCTCTCTCATAACCAACCATCAATGGTCAATCTGTTGTTGTGTCTTTTGTTGGATTATGAGGGTACCTTAATGCTCTTAATTTCTACTTTGTGGATATGATCCTCTTTTTCTTAGCTCATCCTACTTACTGTAGTTGTGTAGATATACTCTCTGGTTTTCGTCTGCTTTCTATCTTCTATTTCTCCCTTTGGTAGTTCTGGTTAATGGTTACTGTTTGTTTTGGTGTTCTTGCCTCAGTTCCTTTATCTTAATAGGTAGGCACCGGACATTCCTAGCTCTGTATCTATCCCACGAGGTATCAAGTATCAACCATGTGAAATGCATTTCATTGAGGTAAATTTCTCCGGGATAGATGATCTGATGTCTCTGTTGGTTTCATCCTTTTCTATGAATGCCTATATTAGATTAGTGTTCTCTTTGCTGCAATCTAATGCGATTGTTTAAATCAATAACACATAGTGCTATGACGCACCACTTTGATGGTATGAGAAATCCGGAAGCTCTGTAATACAACTGTTTTTCCTTAGTTTCTATCGCAATAAGCCTAATTTTAGAACAATAATGGCAAACCATTGAAATAAATAAAGGCCCTTCGTCTTTGATGCTTTTTGGATCAACTAATGAAAAAGTTTCTTTCATCTACTGAGTTTTTGCCTCTATATTGCTAGATGTCTTTGTTTCCTCTCTTTATCTAACTTTTCTTATGGTTTCCAATACCCTTGCAGTAGCAGATTGAAGCTTTGGGGTTTCTCTGGGTTCTTTGACAAAGCGTTTTTTATTTTGTACTGAAAGATTGTAAAAAGTTTTGTTTGCTATGGATAACTGTTAAGCAACCCTCGGTAATCAAGATTATATGTCGTCGCCTAAAAAATGACTTCCTTTGGTCAATGTTTGGCACCTTTTATAGTTTCCTGCTAGAACATTGTTGTGGTACACCTGTATTTCTTTGCACTCAAGAAAGTTTATACAGTTATTCTACATAACCAGACATTCGTAAAGGGCCTTAAACTATTCCGTCTCCTACTCCAGGGTATACTAATGATGAAATCTCTCACTGTGTGTTCTTCACATAATTTGATTCTTCTAATCAAATTATTGAATGACTGGTTGCCAAGATTTGGAGACCAATTAATGTTGATAAGATTGTACATTAATTGTATAGTTTCATAAATTTACCACAAGTCCTGACGCGGAGCGCGGGCAATGAAGACTAGTATTAATAAAAAAGGAAGGTGAGTCCACTAATAACAACCTGACATGTGGCGGGTTGGAGTGCTATAAAGTTCTCTCACAATATTTTGGTGGTTTATTCTTTCTCACACAATTATAGTGTTATCATCCACTCACCAAGCTTATGGAGTTTTGTTTCGTTGGATATTAAAAAGAGTTTATACTATCATTAGTACTATAGTTAACCTCTTTTCCTCCCCGATTCCACCTACCAGATTGATCTTATATATAGCCTTACAAGTCCTTAAAAAGTCTTGTTGTAACTGCAAGTATTTTATTTTAGAGTAACTGCAAGTATTTGATCAAGCCCGCATGGCGGAGGATCGGGGCAGCCTGGCAAGCAGTGATGGCAATGGGGCGGGGCGGGTACCTCAATTCCCATGCCCCGTCCCACGCTACTACGGGTCGGGGCGGGTAAAACTAGCGCGGGTACGGTGGGGCGGGTCGACCCACTCTTACATGTCGTTCAAAAAAATACAAGTAAATTTTACTTTTTACAATAAAACGTAGGGAAAAACACTTTAAGAATGAAAAATATTGATAATAGAATGGATAATTGAGTCTAACAAGTTGAAAGATCGACTCTAACTAGTTGAAGAAAAGTCAAAATAGGAGAAATATGTATAGATATTGTAAGAAAGTGAGATAATATGAGTCTAGAACGGGGCGGGGCGGGTTGGAAGTAGATACCCATGCCCCGCCCCACGCTACTGCAGGCCGGGTAATACCCGCCCCATCGCGGGTCAGGTCGGGTAATACCCGCGGGTCGGGTGGAAATTGCCATCACTACTGGCAAGGAAATGGGAAGCCACATGAAGGAACTAAGGATCTAGGACCGTACAACTAGGATAGAAATAACGAGAGAGTTTGAGAGAGCCACCGAGTTAGAGAGGGAAAATGAGGGAGAGAGTTTGAGAGAGGAAGAATTAGGTTTAGAGAATAATTATTCTATTTCTTGCTTAATCCGAAAATCTCCACCCGTTCAGAATATATAGAGCCGACAAATTCCCTATAACTATCCGAATAATAAATAACATCCGAATTATGCAAATATCCCAAAAATCCTGAAATAATAACCAAAGTCTATTAGATAGTAATAAACTGCAATCCCGCCCCAAGTAACGGAAGAACTGAGGATTTATGTTTCCTACACCACACTCTCTGGCGTAGCCTCCTTGGACACTTATGGTATGAGCACAATTGTTCAGTACAAAGATCATGGAGATTGAGTATTAACAGTCTCAATTCATAAATACCAATCAGCTCCTAACATCCTACAATCAGGCAACAAAATCATGAGGTTGCCAATCCTTCAGCTCCTAACATAACTAGCTAGCTACTATAAATAACAACCTCGTATTGGGGGAACAAGATACAACACCTACCAATACCTTGCTAATGGATCAGCTACTTTCCTTCTAACTGGTACACAACAATTCCCTCCCAGTGACATCTTCCTTCGTTTCATTGCTATGGAGGCCAGCCTCGTAGCGCTAAAGATGGTTCAACTCCGTCATTGAGGAAGTCACTGGTTCATTGCTCTGAACCCAACAGTAGATTCTTCCATCGTACCTAGCCCGTAACTTCTGGTATCTTGGAATTGGAGTAGGCCAGCAATGGACCTTCGGCTCAAACACCCTCCAGCCAGTAAAATATCGAGTTATCTTAGAGACGAACTCTAGCTCTCCCCCACTACCCACATTGCAGGATAGACGACACTTCTTATCGTCTTGATCGGTATGAGTAAAGAAGGCAATTTCCGGCTTCTCTGGATGCAGAGTAGGCACATAAAGGTTCCCAAAGTTATAGTTGTCCCCTGGTGATGACTTCACTGGACCTTCGTACACCTTTCTCCAATGCTTACCATCTTCTTTCAGTCTCCAAACACTCAAGACCATAGGTTTTATGTGTTCGAACACAGCCAAGTGCAGAGCACCTTGCGAAATCGAGATATTCCAAAACTCTAAGTTGGAGAGTGGGGAAACGTCAATACGAGTGAGAGGTAGATCAGGGCGGAAAGGGTTGAAACCAACAATCAGAGGGCTATACAACATAGAATCTTCGTCTTCTGCTCTAAGATACGACGCATATAGAACCCCATTGCATGAAACAACATCATGCATTAGGCGCAGGCGATAACCTTCAACTACACCAGCCTCCTTGGTCCAATCTCCAGACTCTGAACAGAACATATCTAGTTTCACAGAATTCCTATCTTGGTAGATAAACACCACCCGGAACCGATAGCAATAGTCACCTCCTAGATCATGACTATCAGAGATTAAGGGTTCACAAACTAACCTTGCTGACACTCTCCTCAACCACACTGGCCTTTCAGGGGCCAAAGGAAGGGCGACCCATTGCTCCGTAAATGGGTTGCAGAGCAGGTACGATCTGGCGAGTTGAGGATTAGCACGGCTCCTAAACCCGCATAAAAGCAAGTCCTTGAAGCAATCAAAAACGATGAATTCCTCGTCAGGAAGAAGGCCGGGCACGGGGAGAAAACTCAGAAGGCTGTCAGCCGAGAGAATAAGCTTAGGAGGTGGTGGATTGTTCTTGCTCTGGTGGTGAGAAAGGAAGCGGCGACTGAAGCAGGGTTTAGAAACCAGAGATCTCCACTGCTTGCACACGGCTTTGCTCCGGCAGGCGGATCTAGGGTTGGGCAAGCGAATCAGAATTTCGAAGAGGAGGTCGTCCCCTAGTTTGCTGATCGGAGAAGGAGGATTAGCCCCTGGCAAGGACCGTCGACGCGGCATATCTGAACTCTCGGTGGCCATGGCGGTAGTTAAACAGGCGGATGGACAGATGGTAAGGCCACCGGAGGAGTAGGATTAGGCCGCAGTAGAAGCGGCAAAGAAATCGAAATCCCCAAAGTGGAGGGGGTAAAACAAAATCGAGGCTAAGATCATCAAATGTTAAATTTATAATCTAGTCCCATTTGCTTAAACTTTTTACACTAAAATGAAAAATAAATTAGTCCCTAAAATTTTACAAAATTTCAAGAAAGTTCAATATGTGCATGTCTTTGATTGACCAATTAGTGGTTGTCACCAAACAATTAGTCTCCACAAATTGAGTTGACCTGATATCAAAACTTTGATTAAGAGGTCTTGTATTTGAATCTTTACGATCTTCAGTATTTGATATTTGGTTTAATGACATAATATGGTATGTTCACCTTTTACAAAATTTGAACCCCAAAAATAGAGTATTGTTTTGAGGAGACGTGTAAATATGAATAACATAAAATCCAAGCAAAAGAGCGATCAACCAAATCGCACCATTTCAACCATATCCTCTAGTATGGTAAGTGATGTAGGACGATATCTAAGATAAGATAAAGTTCGTTATCGTACGAACGGACGAGAGAATAACACGAAACACAGATTATACTTAGAACTTATTTATTGCTGTTTTATTTTCATCCCTCTGCCGTTTGGCTTCCTGACTTGCCTATTTATAAGGAAAACAGGAAAACAGGTCGTTATGGTTGAAGGGACACACCCCTTCGCCCAAAATATACATCCCTTCACAAAGGAATAACTGTCTCATTAAGAGACTTATTGCTGCTGATGTTAAGGCTACTATATGACTATAGATATTAAGGCTATAGATATTAAGACTTCTGTATCATTCCCTTCCACTTGAGCTCAAACCGTCTCGGATTGATCAGCATAATAGGGACACAAATCTGCTATATTGAAGGTGCTGGAAATGCGCATATGAGCAGGAAGGTCCAGAACATAGGCATTGTCATTGATCTTCCGGAGAACTTTGAAAGGGCCAATCTTCCGAGGATCTAACTTACGTTGACTTCCCCCACGTTCTTTTCGTAGATAGACCATCACCAAGTCGCCAACTTGATAAATTTTACCACGACGATGACGATCGGCAGCAAGCTTGTAGCTAGCAGTGGACTTTTCTAACTTCTGCTTCACCTGTGCAATGGTGTCCACTTGTGACTGAGCAAACAAGTCAGCAGCATCACTTTTCTTGAGACCAGTGGGTAGCTTGATGAGATCAAGAGTTGTTGCGGGTGTGCAGCGATAAACTACAGCAAAGGGAGCCATCCCAGTGGATCGATTGGGAGCACTATTGTAAGCAAACTCTGCTTGTGACAATGCAAAGTCCCATTGGCGCTGATTTTCAGCACACAAACAACGCAACAAGTTACCCAAGGTCCGATTCATTACTTCTGTTTGACCATCTGTCTGCGGATGAGCCATACTGCTGAACTTCAACTCAGTTCCAAAGCGCTTCCACAAAGTATACCAAAATACAGCCAAAAACTTCGGATCCCGATCTGAAGTGATGGAGCGAGGAAGTCCATGGAGGCGAACAACCTCTTGGAAGAATAGCTTTGCAATGTGCGGCGCATTGTTGGTCTGTTTGCAGGGAAGAAAATGGGCTATCTTTGAGAAGCGATCCACCACAACAAAGATAGAGTCGGCTCCGCGTTGATTGCGCGGTAAACCAAGAATAAAGTCCATTGACAAATCTTCCCACGGCTGATCAGGAATTGGCAGTGGCATGTATAAGCCGGTATTCTGAAGTTGTCCCTTTTGAGTTTGACAAATGGAGCATTGTCGAACAATCCGATCAGCATCCCTTTTCAACTGCGGCCAGTAATACCGTTCTTCCAATCGAGCAATGGTATTGTCACGTCCCAAATGGCCTTGAAGTTTTCCAGCATGGAGTTCCGAACGAACTTCTCACGCAACGACGTTCGAGGGATACACAGTCGATTGCCTTTAAAGAGATAGCCTTCTTGTACTGTAAAATCTCCAAGCGGCTACTTCTCCAAATACTTAGACCAAATGGTGTCGAAATCAGGATCGTCGATGTAGAGTTCGGAAAGGAAACTAAATCCAACAACTTCTAGGCTGCTGGTGAGAAGAATGTTTGCTCGCCGACTCAAAGCATCAGCGACCTTATTTGAAGACCCTGATTTGTGCTTAATCACAAAATTGAACTGGCTGAAGTATGCTGCCCAACGAATATGAAGCTTGTTCTTCAAATTTCGTTGAGTTGGAAAGTGTATCAAAGCCTAGTGGTCGGTGTAGATGACAAACTCTTTAGGCAGCAGGTAATGTTCCCAATTCTTGAAGGCCCGGAACACAGCGAAGAGTTCTTGTTCATAAGTTGGCCAATTGACTCTTGCTTCATTGAGTTTTTCACTAAGATATGCCAATGGACGCCCTTCTTGCGACAAGAATCTACCAACACCTGTCCCACATGCATCACATTCAACCTCGAACACCTTATCAAAATCAGGTAAAGCGAGCACCGGGGCTGTGGTGAGGCGCCGTTTGATTTCATCAAAAGCTCGAGCACCAGCTTGAGTCCATTGGAAGGGACGATATTGCTTCAAACAATCAGTAATAGGGGCAACAACACTGCTGAAGTTACGAACGAAACGCCGATAAAATGTGGTCAAGCCATGAAAACTTCGTACTTCAGTAATGGTTGAGGGAGTTGGCCATTCAACAATGGCCTGAATCTTCTGGGGATCAACTCTCACTCCATCCTTACTAATTATAAAACCCAAGAACAGTACTTGTTCCAGCATGAAGTGACACTTCTTGAGGTTGATATATAATTCATTGGAGTGAAGGGCTGTCAACACTTGATGCAAATGATCTTGGTGTTCTTCTTTGCTGCTATATATTAAGATATCATCAAAGTATACTACAACAAATTTTTTGAGAAAGGGTTTGAGCACCTGGTTCATGAGCCGCATAAATGTGTTGGGAGCGTTGGAGAGGCCAAAAGGCATCACAAGCCACTCGTACAACCCTTCCTTAGTCTTGAAGGTCGTCTTCCATTTGTCACCCGGTCGAATCCGGATTTGGTGATACCCACGTGTTAAGTCAAGTTTTGTGACAATCATTGCACCGTGATTCGATTGATGGCTCGGCTATCTACACACATTCTCCATTAGTTCCCTTTTTTTCGCACTAGTAACGCCGGAACAGCACAAAGACTCAAGCTTTCCCGAATGTGTCCAATCTGTAACAGTGCTTCAACCTTCTCCTGAAGTATTCTTGCTTCCTCAGGATTGAGACGGTAATGAGGCAGATTGGGTAACCAAGCACCGGGAACTAAGTCGATGTGATGCTGGATATCTCGTATTAGGGGTAAACGAGTGGGTTCAGCAGTGAATTGAGGAAATTCAGCAAGCATTTCTTGAACAGAATCCGGCATTATTGCTTCGCCGTAGTCAGGTTTGATAACCATACCATAAACGCCTCCACAGTTCTTTACATCGACTCCAAAAATATTGCCTGAATCGATCACTGATAAATAGGTCTGCCCTTCCACTTTAGATGAAAACCTCGGACTTCCCAGCGGCACAGTGACTATGGTTTTCTTCTTCCATTGGAACGTGTAGGTGTTCTCTCGACCTCGGTGTGTTGCGTCCACATCGTACTGCCATGGACGTCCTAATAACACCTGACAAACATCCATATCCACAATATCACAGAAGACGTTATCTGAATAAATCTTTCCCATAGCTAGAGGAACTTTGCATCTTTGATTAACCATCAACTTGGGACCACGTTGAATCCACCCAATCTGATATGGGGAGGGATGAGCTTCTGCTGCAAGTTGAAGCTCTTCAACCAACTTCTGAGAAATCAAGTTCTCACAACTACAATTGTCAATAATTAGACTGCACACCTTATTATTGACTCGACACTTTGCTTGGAAGATTCGCTTGCGTTGGCTGGAATCTTCTTGTGGGGAAGAACAAAGCGTCCGTTGAATCACATAGATGGGCTCTTCACATTCATCACCGCATATGTCATCAACATCATATTCAGGTTCTTGGTTCTCGGCATTGCCCGAGTCTTCTTCTGAAGGATTATCCACCACGTGCACTAGCCTTCGATTGGGGCATTCGTTCGACTTGTGACCTGGTTGATTACACCGATAACACTTCCAGTCGTCGGATGTTGGTATGGATTTTGATTGGTGGTTCGAGGTGCAGTTCGAGGGCCTATTGGTGCTTGAGTAGCAGCAGCGGGGCCACGCCTATTGTCTAGGTGTGGGGTTACGGCTTGGTTGACGGGAGGAGGGCGTGGAGGAGTGGCGTCAGTGGTGCGAGGTTGGGGAGTATCCCGGTAATTTAGTCGATGATAAGTCAATCGTGGTTGTTGAGGGGTCAATCGCGCCTCTGCTCGTGCAGCCATCTCTCGAGCATCCATTAACGACATAACACCCTGAACTCCTATGTGCTCTTGAATCTCGGGTTTCAGACCTCGGACATAGCGAGCAACTTTTAAGTCATCATCTTCTTGTATGTTGCAGCGGGCTGTTAACCGCAAGAACTCTTCTGTGTAGTCGGCAACTGAACGATTCCCTTGCTGGCAATCGAGTAGTTGTCGGTACAGATTATGAGTATAATCCCGTGGAAGAAATCACTGTTGAAGGAGTTCTCTCATCAACGACCAATCTCGAACAGGTTATTGAAGAAGGCGGTAGCGTTCTTCCCGTAGGTTTTGCCACCATGCTCCTGCTCCTCGTAATTTGTAGGCAACAATTGATACTTTCCTTTCATCACTAATCTCCATGATTTCGAAAAATTGCTCGACTTCATTAAGCCAATCTAGGAAAGGCTCAATCTCAAGGCTACCGTTGAAGATTGGGATTTAAACCTTGATTCGGTACCCATCGCGATCTTCCCGACGCGGTTGTGGGTTGTGAACCCTGTGATTATGTAGCTGATCTTCAAGACGCAGGGCGGCCAGTATTTGTTGTAGGGATTGATTGATAC